TCTCCAGCCCCTTCCCAGCTCCCTCAGCCTCTCCTGGTGCTCCTGACCCTTTCCCATCCCTGTTCCCTGCCCTGGATTCCCCCCAGCCCCTCCATGTCTCAGTGGGGACCAGAGCTGGACACAGCCCTCGAGGCACCTCCCCAGTGCCCAGCACAGAGGGACAACCCCTGCCCTTCTCCAGCTGCCACCACGCTGGTTTGGATACAAAAAACACACTCTTTTTGCTACAAAACCCTCTCCTCCAGTCGCATTCTTGTGCCTGGAATGAAAGAGAGCTTTGTGTGCTGAGCTGAAGTGGTTGACTTAATGTGTTACTGTGGCAATTAACTGTGGAGTCATAAGGCCTGGAATAAAGCTTTCATTCCCAGCCACAGGAGAATGGAGCCCTTTTGATGGATGCTGCCATCCCACAGAAGCTGATGGTGTAGGAAAGCTTTCCCCTTCACTCTGCCCCTAAACCGTGGGGATCCTGGTGGAATTTTCTCCAGCTGTGGAGTTTTTCACCCCTCACTTCAGATCTTGGCTCTGTTTGAGCTTCACTGTTCTAAGCTGAGAAGCAACCTGAGCAAACCAAAAAAATATGGCTTAAAACTTCTCGTTTTGGAGAGCTGGTAGCTTGATTCTACAAGAGAGTAGCGACATGTTGATAATGAAGGGTTTTTAACACTTCCAGAGGGAGCCAGGCTGGGAGAGCTGGGGATGAAAGAGGAAAAGGCTCCAGGGAGACTTTAAGAGCCCCTGCCAGAGCCTGGAGGGGCTCCAGGAGAGCTGGGCAGGGACTGGGGACAAGGGATGGAGGGACAGGACACAGGGAATGGCTTCCCACTGCCAGAGGGCAGGGATGGATGGGATTTTGGGGAAGAATTTCTCCCTGTGAAGGTGGTGAGGGGCTGGGATGGAAATCCCAGAGGAGCTGTGGCTGCCCCTGAATTCCTGGAAGTGCCCAAGGCCAGATTGGAGGGGCTTGGAGCACCCTGGGATAGTGGAAGGTGTCCCTGCCCATGACAAGGGTGGTACTGGTTGCTCCTTAAAATCCCTTCAAATCCAGCCCATCCCAGGGTTCTGTAAGTGGGAATAAATGGATATTTATCCTCTTTCCCTTTTCTCCCCTAGCTGCTGTACTGAAATATGAAAACAACGTCATGAACATCAGGCAGTTCAACTGTTCCCCTCACCCCTACTGGCTTCCAAACTTCATGGATGTCTTCACATGGTCCTTGCCTTTCGTAGGGGAAAAGGGTAAGAGAGATAAATTTGGGTTTCTCTTCCAAACTCCAGTGACTGCTCCTCTTGTCCTGAGTGCCACAAACCTGTCCCACAGTGCTGGGAGAGTGTTGCAGCTCCAGGTAGCACAGGAGAGCAGTTCACCCTCAAGGAGGTCTTCATTACTGGATTTAATTAGTGCAAAAACAGCTGTTGATACCTGCTTGAAAAAGCTTTTACCAATAAAACACTCTTTTCCTGCTCTTTCTGCATTGCTGGTGGAGCTGATCTTGGGTGCTGTAGCCCCACCTCAGAATTTGGAGATGTTTCTCTTGGTTTGCAGCAGAAGAATTTTAAATTCCTGTTGGCTCTTTGCCCACCAAAAAGGAAGCATTCACTTCAAGGCTTATTTCATTCTGAAGAAGGCGAGGCAGCTTAAAATATGACCAAGACTTTGCCTCAGCTTTTCACCAAAAGGATTTTTACCTCTCCTGATGAGCTTAAATTCCACCCCATTCTTGTATGTTCAAAATGCAGCTTCACCCTCACCTCTTCCAAAGGGTTTTGAGGCACCAAAGGTCGAATCCCCCCCACTCCCCAAATTCGGCCTTTCTCAGAGCCAGGTGGCAGTGGCGTGGGTGAGGATGGGGAGGGGGGACCTTGAGGGAGCTCAGGCTGTTCTGCAGGAATGTTGGCACCTCCTTCCCCACGTCTGGTTCCTCTGCGATGTGCTTGGCCTGCATCCACCTCCTTGGCAGAAGATGCAGCGTGTGTCGTCTGCTCCGGCGCCTAAAAGTGTCTTTAGGCTCCCACTTGCAGGGGACAGACGACCTTGAACTCCTTCCCTGGTCCTCCAAAACCCTCTCTGACCTCGCTGTCTGTGCCTCTTGCAGTCACCGAGATGCTGGTGAACATCCTCAACATCTGCTCCGACGACGAGCTGATTTCGGACGGCGACGAGACGTTGGAAGGTAAAATATCCCTGCTGGCACCAGAGAACAGCGGGGGGAAAGGCTGGGCAAGGTCTCTCATGCCTGAGCAGCACTTGATTTATAGCTGGATGCCCAGCCAGGGCCTCCAGTTCCTTTGCAGTTTTGGGTAGGGAATGTTATTTTTTTTTTTTTTTCCCCTCCTTTGCTGTTCAGTCACAGAGAAATTAAATGACATTCACTGCGACAGACAATTCTTGCCAGCTACTCTGGGAATGGTTTCCTGCTCCTTACACAGGCTGCTGGTTATTTTTTCCCCCTAATTCAAAATTTTCTGCACCAAAATATCCACCCAATCTTCTCATCTGTTGCAGTGAACTCCTCTGTAAAGTGGCTTCTCCTGTCACCCCCTCCCCAAAAACGCTGGTTTTGGCCCTGGTTTTAAGCTGTGCATGAAGGGGACAAATCAGTGGTTGAGCTGATGAGCAGTTTGGATTCTGGGGGGACTCAGGAGTGAGGTGGTGACCTGAGGAAGCTGAGGGGGGCAGCGAGAAGTGGGGCCTGAGCTGCCTCAGCCCCAGGTGGAGACTCTAACCCGCTTATCCCATTGCATTCCCGTTTTGTTTTTTGGTTTTTTTGGTTTTTTTTTTCTTTCCTCCCTCCCATGAAAATTAAATTTGTTTCTTCTATCTCTGTCTTCATCTACTTGTTTCTTGGTGTCTCCTCTCCCTGAAGATCACTACATTTCAAGCTATCCGAAAGGTACCCAGCTAGAATTTGCTACGAGCTTAATTATCACTGCCTGTGCCACCAGATCCTTGAAGTGGATTTCCAGAGCTGACTAGTGGGGCAGTCTCTTCATCCCCTTTCAGTTTTAACATAAGCTCCATGTGTTTTTTAACCCTTCTGCGTTCCTCCAGGAACTCTGAGAAACGGGGGTCACGTTTCTACCCGATTCTGAATGCAGCCACGTAGTGCATGGCTGAGCCATGGTGCATGTTAGCCCTGGGTTTGGCTTCCCTGTCCTGACGTGTACTGGGCCATGTGAGGAATCTCAGCTGAGAGGAGATGGATTTGTTCCCTCTTTCGACCTGAATTTTCCCTTTGGTTTCAGCTCCCTCCGTGCTTATTTTTGTTGTTGTTCCTCTCTCCCGCCGTGTCTGTAGAGTGGAAAGGGAGCTCCCCCTTGTCCCGTTGTGTCCGTGTGGGGTCAGAGCAGAGCTGCCAGGCTCGGGCCAAGCCCTTCCCCGTGCTCCCTGGATGCCAAAGCTGATGCTTGCGTGCCGCTGCGGGCGAGCCCAGCGGTGCCCATCAGCCGTCAGACCCCTCCGTGCCCTGCCTTGCCGAGCGCGTCCTCATGGCTGAGTCATTTGTGTCACATCCGTGCAGCCTGGGCCCGGCTGGCCAGCGCCAGCGCCGCCTCCCCGAGTCCGTGTCCCGTGGTGGTTCTCCTCTCTGCAGCCCTCTCGAGTTCCGTGTGCCATCTCGTTGGTGTTGCCATCCCGGTGCCATCCTGATGCCATCCTTCCAGCACCGTTCTCTCTCCGGTGTAGCTGTCAGTCTGTAAAAACCATGATTTCTTTTCCTGGAGTCAGGCAGGTGCTTCATCCCGGCCTTCCCTGGAGAGCAGGGAGGCTCCAACGCGCTGCTGTTTGCTCTTTTCTCTCCCTCAGGTGGGACAACGGTGCGGAAGGAGATCATCAGGAATAAGATCAGAGCCATTGGGAAGATGGCACGGGTCTTCTCAGTCCTTCGGTGAGGATGGGCCAGAGACCGGGCTTAAACTGGGGACTGGGCTTAAAGTTGGGACTGGGCCTGAACTGGGGATGGGCTTGAACTAGGGACTGGGCTTGAACTGGGGACTGGGCTTAAAGTGGGGACTGGGCTTGAACTGGGGACTGGGCTTAAAGTTAGGACTGGGCTTAAAGTTGGGACTGGGCCTGAACTGGGGATGGGCTTGAACTAGGGACTGGGCTTGAACTGGGGACTGGGCTTGAACTGAGGACTGAGCTTGAACTGGGGACTGAGCTTGAACTGGGGACTGAGCTTGAACTGGGGACTGGGCTTGAACTGGGGAATGGGTTTAAACTGGGGGCTGGGCTTGAACTGGGGACTGGCTTGAACTGGGGACTGGGCTTGAACTGGGGACTGGGTTTAAACTGGGGACTGGCTTGAACTGGGGACTGGGCTTGAACTGGGGACTGGGCTTGAATGGGGGACTGGACATAGTTTGGGGACTGGGTTTAATTTGGGGATTGGATTTAAATTGGGGACTGGGCTAAATTTTGGGACTGGGCTTAATTTGGGCTCTGGGCTTAAACTGGGGACTGAGTTTAATGTGGGGACTGGGCTAAATTTGGGATCTGGGTTTAAATTGGGCTCTGGGCTTAATTTGGGGACTGGACATAGATTGGGGACTGGGTTTAAATTGGGGACTGGGCTTAATTTTGGGGATTGGTCTTAATTTGGGGACTGGGCTTCATCTGGGAGCTGAGTTTAATTTGGGGACTGGGCTTAGTTTGGGAGCTGAGTTTAATTAGGGGACTGGGTGAAAGGGGAACACTGGTTAGGAAAAAAAAGAAGGGAAAAACTTCATAAACCAGGTGGTTTCTCCTGCCTCTCCAGGACAGATTTGCCTGAAAAAAAGTTGTAGCCAGGCAGGGGTTGGTCTTTTTTCCCAAATAACAAGTGGCAGATGGGAGGAAATGACCTAAAGAGCTGCAGCAGGGGAGGTTCAGGTTGGATATTAGGGGAAAATTCTGCATGGAAGGGATTGCCCAAGGGAGTCCCCATCCCCGAGAGGTTTAACAGCTGTGTGGATGTGGCACTTGGGGACGTGGGCAGTTGACGGTTGCACTCGGTGACCTTGGAAGTCTGTAATGATCCCATGGCTGGATGATTCTCACGATCCATGGCTCCCACCACACCCCCCAGCCTTGCCCGGACCAGTCCCAGCCCTGCTCCGTGTGTAACTGGTGCTGCTCTTCCCTGCAGGGAGGAGAGCGAGAGCGTGCTGACCCTCAAAGGCCTGACCCCCACAGGTACCCTGCCCCTGGGAGTGCTCTCGGGGGGGAGGCAGACCCTGCAGACCGGTGAGTATCCCTGCCCCTGCACTCCCCCTGCCCCAAATCCCCTGGAGCAGCTCCCACGGGCGGCCTGGGGGCTGCCAGGGGACCCCAGCCAGGCTTCAGGCCCGTGGGGAGGAAGGATTCCCAAGCAGGAGCAAGCAGAGGTGTAGGTGGGGGTGTGGAGAGATGCCGAGATGTCCCCGTGTACCCTCGAGGAAGAAAACCAGCAGCACCCCGCCTAAAGCATGTTTGGCGCTTAATCGTTTGTTCCTGCAACAAGTTTTTATCCTTTATTTCCCTTCTAACGCTGCATGGTGCACATCCTCTGCCTCAGCTCGCTGTGCTGCTGCTGTGTGACAGCCTCTGTGTGAATGTGACAGTGACACGGCCTCTGTGTGAATGTGACAGTGACACAGCTGCTTGTTTGTTCTTCGTTCAACCAGACCCCTCCCGGTCTGCCCCTGTCAAGCCATGAATCCCAAAAAAGGAACGAGGTTGCTCCAGGGCTGGGTGGTTCAGAACAATCTCCTCTCGGGTTTTGAGGTAGTTGTGGAGGTTTCTTCTCAAATTCACTGCCTCCCTCAGCAGCTCAGGGAGCAGCAAAGAGCGAAGGATCTGATTCTTCCCACTCCCAGGGAGAGTGGGAATGAGCTATCCCAGAGGGAATCCTGTAATCCAGTGTTTAAATCCTCCCCTGCCATCGGCCTTTGAAGCCTGGCACCTCCCCAGCTTCCCCCTTCCCATGGACACGGGGATTTCCTGCAGCTCTCCCCAGGTCTGGGCTGAGGATTGCCTGGATTAAATAGTTCACGAGTCAGAAACGTGGAAATACCACTGCCTGCTCCCGGGGAGGATGCAGCATCGCTCCCAAGCTCACGGATTTCTCTGCCCACAGAGGAGGATGGGGATTTTTTCCCTGTTTTTATAGAAACCATCACAGCCCCGTCGCCCCAGTTCTGGGAGCAGAGCCTGAGTGGGAAGGTGGCTGTTGCAGCAGCTCTGTCCCTGTATCCCGACAGCACAGGGTCATGCAGTGACGTTCTCCAGCACCTCCGCCTCTCAGGGGGTTCTCTCAGGGGTGCCAGGGATCTCCCCTCCCCCAAAATAAGCCTCTCCCCAGGACAGAACAAACAAGCTGGGCCTTTGCTGCTGCCTTACCCGCCCTGCCCGCCGCCTGCAGGCTCCCCCCGCTGCCCTCGGCAACTCCCGGCTTCTCCTGCCCTCCTCACCCCCTTTCCCTGTCCTTCCCCCACTCCCCTTTCCCTGTCCTTCCCCCTTCTCCCACTCCCCTTTCCCTGTCCTTTCCCCTTTCCTTGTCCTTTCCCCCTTTCCCTGTCCTTCCCCCTTCTCCCACTCCCCTTTCCCTGTCCTTTCCCCTTTCCTTGTCCTTTTTCCTTTCCCTGTCCTTCCCCCTTCTCCCACTCCCTTTTCCCTGTCCTTTCCCCTTTTCCCTGTCCTTTCCCCTTTTCCCTGTCCTTTCCCCTTTTCCCTGTCCTTTCCCTTTCTCCCATTCCCTTTCACCTTTCCTTGTCCTTTCCTCTTTTCCCTGTCTTTTCCCCTTTTCCCTAAACTTTCCCCTTTTCCCTAAACTTTCCCCTTTCCCTGTCCTTTCCCTTTCTCCCATTCCCTTTCACCTTTCCTTGTCCTTTCCCCTTTCCTTGTCCTTCCCCCTTCTCCCACTCCCTTTTCCCTGTCCTTTCCCCTTTTCCTGTCCTTCCCCCTTCTCCACTCCCCTTTCCCTGTCCTTCCCCCTTCTCCCACTCCCCTTTCCTTGTACTTCCCCCTTCTCCCACTCCCCTTTCCCTGTCCTTTCCCCTTTTCCCTGTCCTTTCCCCTTTTCCCTGTCCTTTCCTCTTTCCCTGTCCTTTCCCCTTTTCCCTGTCCTTCCCCCTTCTCCCACTCCCCTTTCCCTGTCCTTTCCCCTTTCCCTGTCCTTTCCCTTTTCCTTGTCCTTCCCCCTTCTCCACACCCTTTTCCCTCTCCTGACCCTTTTCTCTCCCCTTTTTCCCCATCCTCCCACCCTTTCCCGTTCCGCACATCCCTTCACGCTCCCGGTGAATTTTTGGGAGCCCCGTCTGCTGGGTGAGGAGGAGGGGGTGCTGCCCCCGTTTTGGGGTGCCTGTGCACCTCAAGAAAGGGAAACAGGGCTGCAGTGAGAGGGGGCCCTGCCCTCCTGAGCCTCTCCCCAGCCTTTTCCAGCAGGGCTTGGCAAAATCAGCTGAACAAAGTCACAGAATCTGGGGCAGAGCTGTGCGGCCACAGCTCCATCCTTCCTCCGTGGCCTCCCGAGGACCACGTGGCCTCTGCATTGTGTCCAAAGTGAAAAAAAACCTGCAGTTTTGAGGCTAAAATCCAGAGAATCTGCTCCAGGGAAGGGCGTCCTTCCAGATGTTGAGGCAGGGCCTACCAAACCTTGGATGTTGCTGCAGCAGATTTAGGAAGGGGGACATTGCTCAGCTCTGTGGTGCCTTGTTGCTTGGTAACACTTTCAGGAGGTGGAGCTGAAGCCAAACTGGATTTTGAGCCTGATTTTCTCTCAGAACTCAAGGCACCAGGAGCGGAGCAGCCCTGCTGCTTGTCCTTCCCTGGAAATCAGGCAGCCCCTCTCCTTCCCACTGCTCCAAAACATCCCCTGGGATCCCTTCTGTGTGCTGCAGGGTGAATTCCCCATCACTGGAATCATCTGGAGGTGGCCTGGAGCCACCCAGCCGGGAGCAGATCCACGGCTCAGTCCCAGCTTGTCCCTGTCCAGTGCACACAGCAGGAAGCCCCCCGCTCTCTGCTCCTCTGTTCTTCCATCAGATCAATCCAGAGGAAAGGAGACTCCCCTGAGCCCTCGGGACCCCCCTTTCCCCCTTCCTCTCCACCTCTTGTCACCTTTTTCTCCCCTCTCACCACTCGTTTGGCACCACCGGGGCTGGGGGGCCGCGGGCTCTGCGTCGCAGCCATGATGTCGGATCACTCACTGTCACTCTGTTTTTGTTTCTTTTTTTTTTTTTCCTGTTTTTTTGTTTTGTTTCGGTTTGTTTTTTTGTTTTTTTGTTTTTTTTTCCCTGTCTTCATTTCTGCATGCCACTGTTCTTCTGTATTGCAGCCACAGTAGAAGCGGTAGAGGCACGGGAAGGTATGGCTAGAACCCGGCGAGAGACTCAAATCATCTCCGTGTGTGCGTGCGCTCATTTTAAAGAGCTTTACCAGCCCTTAACGGAAGCTTTTTACTCTTGCATCACCAGAAGTAGGGGAGGACGAGGCACAAAAAACACCCAGGGGTTTGCTTCAAGGCTGTTTCAGCTCGAACAGTTTATTCCTTAGTGGAATACCTTTAATTTGGAGTTGCCAAAGCGGTTCCTGCTGCGGTGGCTCGAGACCTTGGGCTTGAGGTCCTGCAATCTGCCAGCATCATCAAAACCCATAAAAAACAGGATTTTGTGGTGCTGGTGTAATCCCTGCCTTCCCCACAGGTAGGCCAAGGTGGAGAGGCAATTCTCTGCCTGTAGGGTGTAGGAATGACAGATCCATGAGGATTTTTCCTCGATGCCGAGCGAGGCCACGCAGCTTTACAGAGGGAAGTTGTTTGTGAGCCAGCCAAGTCCTTGTAAAAGATTTGGCACAGCCTCCTTTTCCTTAAATTCTCCGTAGCACAAAGGAGTTTCACATTTGGTCCGTGTCATCAGGGCAAGGGATGGAACAGGGACGTGAAATTCCTCAGTGGGATTCATCCCTCCCAAATCTGCCCGTGTGTCTCCTGGTCATGCAAGAATTTTGCCTTTGTGATCCAAGGACTAGCTGTTCCCTCTCCTGGTGTTGCAGTGTGTGGTTTGTGTCGGAGTTCAGAGCCTTGTGGTGGTGTCTTTGTTCTGTCGTTCTGGGTTTTGCCCTTTTTTTTTTTTTTTTTAAGTTTTT